TTTTTTTTGGGGGGGGGGGGGGGGGTTTAAAAAAAAATTTTTTGGGGGGGGGGAAAAAAAAAAAAAAATTTTTTTTTTTTCCAAAAGCCCCGGGAATAAAAAAAAACCACCCCCATTTCCCCCAAAAAAAAAAATTTTTTTTGGGGGGGGGGGTATTTAAACCCCCCGGGTTTTTTAAAAAACATTAAAAATTTTTTTTTTTTTGGGGGGGGGGAAAAGGGGGTTTTTTTTTTTTTTTTTAAAAAGGAAAAACAAAGGAGGGGGAAAAAAAAAAAAAAAAAAAAAAAAAAAAAAAAAAAAAAAAAAAAAAAAAAAAAAAAAAAAAAAAAAAATGGTGTATTAAAGAAATGGTGTAATAAAAAAATAAATAAAAAAATAAATAAAAAAATAAATAAAAAAAATTAGTATCAATGAAGATAAATAATATGTTAATAAAATATTATTATTGCTTACCTTTTCTTTATTTTATGAGGTAAATAAAAAAACTATTTCTTTAACCCTTTGTATGTCAGTCTGTATGAATCTAAAAGGCTTTTCTAGCTAGCCCTTTTTCAAAGCGCTTGACTTGATTCTTCTCTTCTTATTAACTACTGAGTATTCTCTGTTTCACAATAATAGATTTTTTTTTTTATTATTTTATTATTTAAAAAATTATTTGTTAAATAGAAAAGTGTTAATATAAATTTTTAAATGAAAAAACTATAATAAAAAAAAAAAGAAAAAAAAAGAAAAAAAAAGAAATATCTTTTTATTTTGAGAAATATAAAAAAAAAAAAAAATTAAAAAAAAATAATTATTTAAATTATAAGAAAATAAAAAAAATTTATTTTAAAAAAAATAAAATTTTTTTTTTTTTTTTAATATATTTTAAATGTGCACTATCAACATTTGGTTGAAAAAATTAATAATAAGAGATATCTTGATATGAATAAATAAAAAAAATAAAAAGAACGCCATAAGGGTTTTTTTTCCCTTTTTTTTTCATTCCAATTTTATTTGAAAATAGCTTTAATAAAAAATACCAAAAATAATATTACTTTTTATATACTTTTTTAATATCTAGATAGTATTTATTAAAGAATATAGTTGAAATTGAAAAAAATAAAAAAATAAAAAAATAAAAAAATAAAAAAAAATAAAATTGAAATAGATAAATGGAATATAAAATAAATAAAAGAGAAAAAAAAAAAATATTATTGTCACCAAATAAAAAAAAAATAATAAAATAAAATAAAAAAAAAAATAAAAAAATAAAAAAAAGAAATAGTGGTTTATAGATTATGTTATTTCAGTATTGCTGAGGTGTGTATGAGAAAGAGTACACTTACATTTAAACTATTAGATTTTTGGGTATAAAATTATTTAATTGATTTATTTGTGAGGTATATGAATTAATAATAATAATAATAATAATAATAATAATAATAATAAAAAAAAAAAAAAATTTTAAATATTAAAAAAAAAATATTAAAATATATTATTTTGTTTTTATTGTGGGTTGGCTCTCTGTAGTGAGTCAGATGTTGTGGTGTGGTGGTATGTTATTGGGATTATAAATTTACTATCAAATTTATATCATAAATAAATAAAATAAAAAAAAAAAAATTAAATTAATAAAAAATAAAATAAAATGAAAATTTATTTATGGTGATGAGAAGCAATAAGAATAAGGAAAGCTTTGTTTTTCTATTTATTTTATGGTGGGGGGGTATGTGTTAATACACAATTTAATTTAAACGTACTAATGAGGAAAAATTGAGGGTTTTTTTTTTTTTTATGACAGTATAAAATAAATTAAAAAAAAAATAAAAAAAATAGAGTTTATTTTCAAAAATAAAAAAATATTTCTTTATATGGAAAATAGAGTTATTATGATTTTTTAATATCAAAAAAAAAAAAAAAAAAAAAACAATTTTTACTTTTATTTTAATAATTTTGATATTAAAACCCAAATTTTTTTTTTCCCCCTTTCCCTGGGGGAAAGGTTAGAAAAGGACAATCTAAATTTTTTTTTTCAAAATTCTAAAAAATCCCTTTTTTAAAATTTATTTAAAAATTAA